TTCCTGCTCTATTTCTTCATCAAGTTTTATCTTCCATTTATGCATGATGATTGTGAATAAATTTGAACATCAAAATCTTATTCTTATAAGTCGCATTTTTATAATTTATCACGAGCACGGATAAATTATTTCTTAAATAATATTTACATTACACATAAAGTGCTGCGGAAAGTATTATTGGATAATATTTCAAGGTATTTATATTGAAGCATATGTGCGAAAAGAAAAAAATATTTTTATAAAAATCAATCTGTTTCTAAAAATGAAATAATTCTCTATATTGGAACTATAAACGAACATTATGCATATATACAATATTATAACAATATTATACAATATTATATATATTATATATATAATATTATTTGTATTTTTAATATTATTTGTACAATATTATAATTATACGTACAAATATATTACAAAATACAAATATATAACGAAAATATTCTTACTTAAACAACGGTACTATTTTATTCGGAAAATACACAGAGGTGTATTTTCTTCCAAGCCCCTTGAATCTACAGACTGTCAAAGGGTTGTGGTTTGGCTATGTAACAAAATAGCATCGTATAGCTAGACCGCCTATGCTGGTAACGTGAGGGTGTAGGTCAACGGTATCGTAGGTCGATAAACCACCGGGCGGGCGTCGATGTGGAACTGTTCCTGGAAGTGGTTGCGGCGCCGCATTGGTCGGCCCGATTATTTATGCAGAGAGCGTCGACCCATTACTTCGCCTCTCATTTGTCAGTCACATTTGTCGGAAGTTCGAACCTCGTTACTTGCCTCTTGACCTTCGAGCGACGAGCGCATCGGACAAACCGAATTGTCTCGTTAAACTTGAATGCATTTAATGCATTCGAAATGCAGCAGAGAGGAGACCGATTTTCACGTTATATTAAATTAGTTATTAATTATATTTCTAAAAATTTTACAAATTTTACAAAAATTATTCCGCATTGCTACACAAATTGTTCATCTTAGAATTGTTATTCAGTATTTTTTTCTATCATTAATTATGAAATTAGTTGTGAAATTATTGATTTTCGTATTACTTATTTTATATGCGTATCCTTAATTTATTAGTAGCATTTTATTCTGATTAACGTCGCTTTTAATCGCTTTTAATAGTGCACTACTATCTTGGCGATAAAGTTCGTGGTAAAAATCAACCTTTATAAATTATTTGGCATATTCGAGCTGGGGATTATATAACAACGGATAACGTTTTCCGCAATACCCGGTTCTTCAAATATCAATGCTAAGCTAGGCAGGAGAATCTCGCTGCACTTCATAGATAATCGGATTTATTACAACCAGCACTCCAGAATGATATTCTGCGTATTCGATGTTCTTCCGCGTATAGGACAAAAATGTGTATTACTTTTACTGATTTAAACATACTTTGGTAAAAACCCACTTTAGTAAAAACATATGTCAATTATAAAATGTGTAAAACTATTATACATTTCTATAAATGTACGCTTTTCAGTATTCCATTTCCCTATTTGAAAAAATCATAAAAGCATAAAAATAAAATAAAAATTTATTTTTACATGCTTTAGCAAACATTGAAAAATAAAATACACGAGTAGAAAATTTAAACTTACGAATTATTTTCAAAGTTTGTAAATGAAATTATAATAAAAATTGCAAACATTGCAATTTTTTAAAATAAGCAGGAAAATATTAGGTTTATTAATATCGAAGTAAAAAAATCACAAATAATTAAATGAGATTTAATAGATAAATTGATCATTAAATTCAACACATTATTCACGATATCTACAGTAAATCATACATTCCGATTATAATGGAAGAGCAAAGTTCTTACCGCAAGATCGATACAAACAATGGTGACGAGGAAGGGCTAAGTATGTGACTGAAGATAAATCGACCAATTCATCTAATTTATCATCGCTTATATCCGCTGATCGGTTTGACGGACATTTATATCGTCCGGCGAGTCCATTTCGTAATCCACAAATTGGCGGAATTACGAGCGGTTAATAGCCCAGGCATTGCTCATCTACGAAATTGCAACAACAGGACCCGTTGTCGATTCAGTCATAGTAGAATCAGTTTGACAATAGCCAACAAAGAAGCTGTCACATGTATTATATCGGGCGGCACGTCCCTGTAGCTACAAATGTCCGCGTTTAGTCGGCAGACGTGTATACAAGCAGAGCACAGCCCGAGTGGAAGGGCTCGCATGATCGATGTGACGTCAAATGAACGGACCGGCTAATACTCGCGATAGCATGGACCGCCGAACATACAGCTACGCTCGCCACCTGAGCTACTACCCTCTATTGGACTAGGCAATTCGATTAACCACTCATTAGAACGTATAAGTGGCCTTAGACAGCGCAAACGCTACTCCTGCCGTCTGATCTATTTGACCGTCCCATCTCGGCTGAGTTGTCGTCGTAAATCGATGTGTAAATAGTAACCAACGCCGCACGATATACGATGCTGAATAGATGGTCACCAAGTGGCCTTACATCTCACGCATTTATATATCTCTCGCTGGTGTACAAGATACTATACATACAATTCTCTTACGGAAATAAAAGGCCAAATTACTGCATTCTTACAAGTGACTCTCCAACGTCTTTTATTTACGGTGAAAGTCGGGAGAATTTCCCGAAGGATTTTTCGAAACTTTCGTTAGTATATATTTGAGCGTCTTCATATGCACATTGTTCGCTTTATCTCTGTTAAAATTTAGTTTGCAACTGAGTTTGCAATAAAGTTTGCATTTGTTTCATAATTTAATATACTAGTTTATAATAAAATAGATTGCCATTAAAAATAATCCAAAAATTCTTTGAAAAGTTTCATAATACACTCATTTTTTAAATTCAAATAGTATACGCGCAACGAATGCGATTCAAAGTTTAGTAGCCTCTTATTATTTTATTAAAAATAAAGAAATAATATCAATTTTTATTTCCTAAAAGTGAGAGTACTCATATTTTCTTATTTTTAATAGCAATTTACGAATAATTTTATTATTTTAATTTTTTTCGTGCTTATCAGTTTTAAATAATACACTGTTTTTATAGAATCCATTATTTATTTATTTGGAACGAAATAAAGATTGCTCTTTTTATAATTTATCAATGGCGCAACAAATAGTAAACACGTGAAACAATTAAAATAATAGGATCCGCTGGTGTCGCATTCAACAAAAATATTTAGAGTTTAGTCGTGTTCAATTATCGTTAATGCGCGTTAAATTCGAGTGCCGGGGTTCTGTATGGGAATTAATGGAATCCTCGACAAACCGTGATAATTGCGCCCCGTTAATTCGCTAATTGCGGTTTCTCCAGTTTCGTGCTGTCGTTATCATCGGCGTGGCGGCGGTGGCGGCTTTGTAACGCGGCTTCGGCGACGAATAATATCGGATGAAGTAGTAGCGGGCAACTTTGTTCAGACAGTTCGTATTTGCTTGTTGCTAGGAATTTATCGCCCTCAAAGTGGCTTGATTTACTCTTGCCAATATTACCATGAAATTCGCATGATATCAGTGTTCGCGCGTTTCCGGCATTTTCCACGCAACATTAAGTAATCGAGATTTCAAACATTGGCATATCACACAAATATTTAAGTAAATTCCTGTAGAATTTGCTCTTCAATCTTTACTGTGCAGTATGTTAGAGAAATACTTTATAATAAATATATTGAGTAAAATAAATCGAATATTTTTATTCGGAATAAAATTTGATTCACTTTAACTTTATGATCTTGTAATAAATTTTTACATATTTAAGAAACACGGACTGTTCTTCGAGCAATCTATATAAGCTTGCGCTTCGCCAAAGTAGTGACGTAAGGCGTCAGGCCAGACGGCGCCGGTCTCTTATTCAGAACGCATAAGTTATTCGTTTAGCCTGCAACGTCGCGACGGTCCCGTTGTACGTGGTTGGCGTGTCACGAGAAGTACACACGGCCGCGCACACGTGCATGGCCTGCTAAAACGAACTTATACCTGCCTGGAAAAACTGTCGCGCATTCAGTGGCGTACCGAAAATAGATGGCGAGAAAGACAGACTACTACAGTCGAAATATCATTACAAGTTTTTAAACCAAATGAAAAATTCGCCAAACTAAGACAAAACTCTACTTGCGAACGTAATATGTTCTTTCGAGTTCTATTTTAAGTTTTCAAATCATTTACAAAAATATCGGAAAAGTCACTATAAGTTTTTAGGTAAAAATTTGATAACATAAAAAGAGAGAATCTATTTGTAAATGTATTATATGTATTTGAATGTATTTTGTCTCTATTTAAATTTTTTATATTTCCATTCTTTTTTCACATTCTTGGCACTGCAGAAATAAAAATTCTATTTTTTTAAATAAAAAATGTGTTTAGAATACAAATCTTAATATAAAGTTTTGAAAGAAAGGAATTTACTGGACAAACACAGTACGAAAAGAATCAAGTTATTAAGTTTTTTTTAAATTACATGAAAGAATTCAAAGAGAGCTCCCACATGACAAATATTTTAGATACGTCTCTGCCTGCACCTGCCCGCCGAAATACTCGTATATGCGCCACGTTTCGTATTTCCGTGAAATGATCGCCGTAAAAGTGAGCGCCGTGGGAAGCATTAGCATTCTTTTCGTAAATTCGAGCACCGACAGCTCGTACATATGTTGAAAAATGTATTATCGTGTTATGTGAACGCCGTGACTTCTTTTGTATCAGTTTTCTAACAAATCGTTATTTAAATTCTGATACGATTTTATGCGCTAGAATTTTATTTTCAGAATTTTCATCAATTAATAAAACGCTCATTTATGGGTTGTTTGGATTTATAAACTTCCAATTATGATAATCTTTACTAAAAAATCATAAATTTACAAGCTTAATGCATTCTCAGATGTATTTAATACGAAAATCTCACAATTGTTATTTTTTAATTTAATATTATACTGTATATCAAAGTTTTTGAAATGAAATATTTTAATAATCAATATTATTTATGTTGCAGGGATTGGCGAGAATTTCAATGGAGCAGGATCCGTGAACAGCGCCATTCCAAAATCATACGTTTGGTGAGTGGATTTTTTATTTTTGTTTTAGGATGTTCATTAATAGACGCAAGTTTGATGAATAAACTTTCTTGTTGAAAACTGAAATAATTTATTTTGTACTTAAATCATATCCATTATTTTCATCAAAATTATTTTTTTTAATTATTTAGAAACACTGTTCAATTCGTGTTTCTATGAAGACAAGTTTATTTTAGTTTACTACGTAAAATATTATCATATATATCAAATGCGCCTATTACTGAACATTCCATATTTCTGCGCGGGAAAACTCGGTGAAACATTCATAAGCTGGTGAAGAAAAGTAGCGGTGGATAGCTCTCTACGAAAGACGAGACCACTTATATCCATAAGTGATGGCCATAAATGACCAGAGTAGTAATAGTCAGCGTAATGTCCGACAGACATGCTAGGGGCAAGGGTGGTAATGGCGCTGTTACGACCGGACTTTGGATTATTTCTTAGCAGAAGTACGCACGTAAACGGTACGCAGTTATTTTGCCGCTATCCCCGTAGCTTCGATTATGCCAGCGGAATTCCGTTTAAGTACATCGTCGTGAAAAAGTAGTAGATAGAAGCCATTTCCGCGAGCCATTATTGCATATCGTAAGAAATACGCATGCATCTTGCGTTAAAAGGAAAATGCAGCGTTATGCTTGAAAGTGCGCAATAAAATATGCTTTTAATACGTAATTTTATATTTTAAAAGGACAAACAAGAAGTATAATTAACAAAGAAATATAATTTTAAAAATTATTATAATTGAATAGAATTAGTTTATCAGAATAAACTAGGCAGAAATAAATGTAGAAAAAGATTAACTACATGTTATCAGTACAATAGAGAGATATTAGATATTATTTTGGGGCTAAGGCTTTAATATTACCACAATCAATCCTGCATAATAGGACGTTATTAATGAATTAATAATGTCTATAAAATTGTCTCGTGAAAGATTAGCAACGCTATTCAACATATGATACATTATAATAATGATCGCAAAGTACAAAAATAACAGGTGCGCGTGATAAGTGCTCGTCAAGCATATTAATAAAATTACAGGTCAGCTTTGGTGAACGTGCTCGATTAATTTGCGGCAGATCGAGCGGGATTAATTAGAGTGATTAATTTTGCAAGAATGACTCAGAGACCCGCTGCATTTTTCGAATACCACGTGATTTCATTCTCACGCAAACACGAGCATCATATAATCGCATCAATATTAATAAATGACAGTTATTTCCCTCGCGACCCGAAACCTCGGGTAATTATTTGCGATTTATTGCGCGAATTGTAAATCGTGACCGCGATCTGTTAATCGCGTTTGGCATTTGTAAAAATAGAACGTGTCGCGAGGGAACGGATAATATATCTGTTTAGGTCGATATGCTAATATTCATTTCACGGATTTAAAATGCAGAATATATACGGAATGTTCTGTAAAATGGCGTGATTTTCTAGACGAAGGATAGATCATAAGATTTTCTCTCGAAAAACAACAAATAAAAAGTAAGAAAACTTTTAAAACAATAAGAGGAATTAATATGAATTAGTATGAATTGAAAACACACGAGTTTAAATATTACATTAGTATAGTAATATATATTTTTAATATTATATTTTGTTTTCTATATATAACATTTTTCTTACGAAGTTAAAAATTTATCAACTATTTGTTACATTGACCAAGTTGCTTTATTATCGCATTTCACTGGGCACTCTTCTTAGTAACTAATTCTGCTTTGTCATTCGAAAATTCTCCACTTTCCAATTAGGTTTAAGTATTATCGCGTAAACTAAATCAAAGTTTTTTCAATTATACGACGTTGAAGTTAAGCTTATTTTCTTCATAGCTTGTTTAAATAAACTTTTAACACGGGGAAGCTATCTCGGGTTACTCAGCGGATATTATAGAAACTAAACGTTTACATTTAATTTTCAAAGATAACCTTAGCTGCTTCGGATAAAAGTGAATATACACGTGACTCGATTAAACTTTCGCGAGTTTTAATCCTCGGCTTATGAAGAAGCTGTGCACACTCTATATATATTTATGTGTGTGTATGTGTGTGTGGATGTACACTCCAAAAGTGTAACATGGCATTACTTAAATACGAATCACCAGATAAACACAATATATTTAATATGTTGCATTACTATTGAGATATGTATATTTGATTGCATTAATTTGAAGATTAAGAAATATTACTTACATTTATATTGATTTTAATTCTTATTATTTGTTATTTTTAACAAATAATTTTAATATAACAATGAACATAAATTATTGATTTTTACAACAATATTGGATACTGATCCTATATATTACTATTGTAATTTTATTTGTATTACGAAGTGAAATGTATTTTCATGTTGAAAAACAATCGAAAAATGGGATGCAACACAGAGATAAATAATACCATATTACACAATAAATTTCTGATATGGATATTGAACTGCAAATGTAAAACCCAAGTTAAGTAAATCTCAAGTAAATCTTTTCGCAACAAACAAAGGGCCTCGATTCGCGTGATAAACCGCGAGCCACTACTTTGATAACATTATTTATCGCTCAGATTACATAATGCCCGCCCTCGTAAATTACACACCAAGATTTCGAACGTGCGCGTCTCGACTGCTCTTGGCCTGTCTTTCGCTTTTCTCACGTTGTTCTCCCTCTTACTTTAACTCGTTTTTCACTGCACCCTCCTTTTTTTTCTTGTTCTTTTTCTCTCGCCATTCAGCAAATTGCTGGCGCGCCTCTCGGGATTTATCGTTTTTCCACTGGATGCTGCTTTATTTATTCCACATTCTCCGCGTATCAGAGGGGGTTGCGCACTTGCAGGTGCGCTGAAATATCGTTGGATACATACGATGAAAAAGGGAGAAAGAGAGATGCACTCAAAAGCGACGAAACGAAAGAAAAATGCGGTGATACGAGGAGTCGAGGAAAATGACAGAGTCAAAGAATGGCGATGAAAGAGACGAGATAAGAGGGTGGCATGCCGAGGGAGGGGGAGGGGGTGAGCTGTCACAACTCTTCAGGATGCAGATTTTGCCGAAAGAATCCCGGTATTTGTAAGCGACAGCCACTAAAACGCTTCGCGTTCTCTTCGACCGTTTTGTGCCGTATTGCGTTTTTGCGAGGGTGATGCATCGCATCGAAATTTACGCCCAAAATCCGACATTCGCTCCGCTCACATCACTGACGAAAATCTCATAGCGAATATTGAATATGCACATTTTTTGTTCTCTTTTTATAAAAGCTTCACACTTTTATTGTCTTTCCCCATATACTTATATAAATCGGTAGCTATACTATGCGGTTCAAAATTTTATATTTAGAACATGAAACAATTTTATATCTGAAATATTTTTATACAATTTCGGAGTTTTCGGAAAATCTGCGAAAAAATTAAATAATATAAAAGTTATATTCAAAAATGTAATATTGTGTGTGTTGTGCATTAGTATATAAACTTTTCAAAATTATTTACTATTTTAATGAACAAAGTTTTTCTTTTCAAGTTACATAAAAATGAATATGTATTTCAAGTAATAATATGATGAAAGATGGATAATTCTATATACAATTCTATATACAGCATGGTAAATGCTACTACAATACCGTAAAATTTTAGAATTTTCTTTCCATTTCGATATGAATGGTACGTTTTTAATATTTATTATAAGAGAATATAGAAATATTACATATTATAATGTAGACATAAATTTATATATTATAATAAAATGCATTGCATTAAATAGATTTTGTTGCACAAGAAATGTTTCAATATATGTAAACTTAACTTTGCAATTAAAAGATTAATAAAGAACGGACAGGTATCTCATTTGATATTTATTAAAATAAATGTATACGCGTATTTTCATAACACCGTAATGAATAAAAATGGAAGTTTTTGCACACCGTGTGCTCGTTATATCATAACTAGAATACGTTGATTAATATTTCTTGCAGTGCAGAGCGATAATTAGTATTGTTTCGGCCTCCACATTCTGAAAGTTACATACAAAGCACGTCAAAGCGAAATTACACATTAATTTCGGCGTTGTAATTGGCGGTTACATCGGCATTCACAGCGTGGTTACATTGCCTTTGACGTTTTTCGCTCATCCTTCCCGCGATCCATTATAATGTAGAACAAAAAAATTATAACAATATAATCAGAATAACATTTTTTACTAACATGCAGTGACTCAAAATTAGTTTAAAAATCTATAAAGAAAAAGAGATAACGTTAAATAAGCGAAAATAAAAAATAAAAAGAAAAGTAAAAACATGGAAAAAGTGATTAAAAATGAAAAGCTTGGAGAGGGAACACAATATATTATAAAAATGCACATTCTAAAATTATACAATAGTACATTATAATAAAGCATAGAAAAATTCATAAATTGTGTAAAAAAATTTAATTTAAACAATTATTGTTTAGAATATTTTCTTAACTTATGAGCGATATGTAAATATGTTATCTTAAAAAAAAATCTGAATTTTTTGTCCTCATTTAGTCATTTAAAATTCGTTAAAAAATACTTTTACTGTCTACAAAAATTTTCGAAAAATTTAGAATTATACGATAAATACAATCACTCTTTTATTCAAAAGCATGTACCGCGTGTTTTTCGCTAATTTTCCGAATACAATTACGTCCATTAAACTGCAGTCAATCGTTTGGCATAAGCTTGCATCGTCGATTTGCGGATGAGACTTAGCATTGATTAATGTCGCTCTGGAGCGGCGCTCCTTTAATCCGCTTTGCTAAATTATCGCCATTAACAAATTGCTTGGCCCAAGCAACTCTCCGGCACCGTATCTGACGCGAGCGGGAGCATGCGAAGCTCAGATCCTTGTAAGTAGAGGAGAGGAGCAGAATGTTGCAGGGATGCGTTCGCGGCAGGACAGGTATTTACGGACGGAGGACGTGCGAACTGATTCTGGACTCGGCTTTGCCGACGACTTGGCAGAATCTGAGACAAGATCA